CTGTAACTAGGAGCATTGCATCAATGGGTGTTGATTCTATCCCTCCAGTAATTAGTCGTAATGCTTGGTTGTGTGCCTTCTCGAGGGGTTTGAGAGTCACCTCTGTGGCTGTAATGAGTGGCTCACAGCAATACAACATTATTGGCTGAATAAACATCTTGTAAGTGGTGTTGAGAGTTGAGCGTGCACAGCCCCATGCGCTACCAGCAAGACGCTTCATTACATTCAGTCTATAGGAGATTCGTTCTTCTATTTTAGCAATGTGACTTTCCACGTTAGCTTTGTGTGAAACGTCATTTCGAGATAAGTGGAAGTCAAAGAAAGTAGAAAATATCGCATGAAATATAACCGTTGCGAAATATGCCTTTTGTCAGCAATATTTTACTCGCCTCAAAATCATAAAGGTGTCAAGCACAAACGAGACTAATATGAATTGACTTTTGCTTTACAGAAACCAAATTAAAGTTTCACTCTCATTAGAGTCAATAGCAATTACGTAACCTTCAAACTCATATCAAAATTCAGCGGGTGAAGCCTACCTGTGTAGTAAAGCATTGCTCAAGGCTGTTGACGCTTAGAGATTTTTTTGTCAATCACATTGCCAAAATGGGACTGATATGACCGATCAGCGGCGGCTTCTTTAATCCCGATTGCCCAAATTTTACTCTACTCCTCCTATTGAACTAACTGGTCTTCAAGTTTTCGGGTTTTGTAGTTAAAAAATCATTGAAATATTTTATTTTAATCTACTTCTTCTCGTTTTTGCATTATTAAGGACTTTCAATTTAACGGCACCGTAAGTACTCCTAATTTACACTTTACTTTCTGGCTAACTGCAACCCAATTAGTACTTGTAGTAAAGAAATATATCCTTACCAAAAATGTGTACTTTATGGGCCTAGAAAAACTCATTTTTTACCCTTTATGGTCACTGCACATGGAATATGGGATAAAACCGTCACCTTTGCTCAATTTCACTCAATTACAGGATGGAACGTCTTCGTTTTAAGGTGGGTGTGGCGGTGTTGCTTTGCGTTTCAGTGGGTGTGAAAATTTCGCTTTCCGAAGAACCATCGTGGGCAGAACGCGCGGAACTTCTTGAGTTTCATAAGAAAATAAGAGAAAATGTTCGTCCCACAGCCGCAGATATGAGAGTGCTAGTAAGTTAAAAAATCATCCAAATCATCTATCTCCTTCTAGAGTTATTCTTATGATATGCAACAAGAGGCTGAAAATTGGGTAAGAAAATGTACCAAGGAGTTTCCAGAACCAAATAAGGATCCAAAGTATTTTCAAACTGTTGCAACAATGCCCATCTCCACTAATGCGAAACCACCTACAGTGATGGAAATGACAAATATGTGGGTGGCAGAGAAAAAATTGTACAATTACAATACTAACTCATGTTCAGGACAGTGTCTAAACTACCCGCGAGTAAGAATTTTTAACTGATTACTTCGTTGGGATCAAGATTGTTAAAATCAATTTGCCCATGCAATTTATCCCATTGAAATTTCAGTCAATAGATAAGTTACTGCTTATGGAGAAAATTTGGTGTTCGAAACAGCGTATGGTCGGCTTTTAATTAATGCGTTTTTCATGGTCGAGCAAACACCCTCCACTAAATTGAAAGCGACTTTCTTTCCTTTACTGCCAAAGAGTAACTAGTTTGTGGAGTTAGGGCACTTACATTTCCTTTTTACGGTTGGTTTATAATGTGAGCTGTTTCGTATTGTTAATGATCTTCACTTATACGACCATATTCATCCCAATTGCTAAACTACTAATTAGGGAACAAAAATTTAATTCAATTCTAATGGGATCTAGCCTTTGGTTATTGCGACTGCTATATTTACAAATAATTGCAATTCTAATAAATTTCAGCTTATTTGGGCGCATAGCACTAGCTTCGGATGTGCAAAGAAAAAATGCGACGGCAAATTGACAAAAGATAAAAAGCCCTTCTACATCTTTAGTTGTGCTTACGAAGTTGCGTAAGTGTAAACAGAGCAACACTAATGCAATGGCATGCTTGACGCAAATGCAACATAAAAATGTATTGCTTTTTAATAAATTTAGCCTCCTTCCGGATGGTGAGAAGCCCTATCTTGAGGGAGGAAGCTGTTCCCAGTGTCCAGAACGATCCACTTGTCATCGCCACCAATGCCTTCAGGCTAGCAAGTCAAGATAAGATGAACTAGCTGGCGTTGCCGTTATGTCTCCAAAGCTGACAGAACTTGAACTCGGTCATACATTCTGGGCTTGTTTTCTCCTTGTTGCCTTAAAATTTGATCAATAAAGTGGGAAATACTAGATCATTACTTATATATATTATTTTTGACTTCTGTTTAATGCGAACTCAGTTCCAGAACGGTTTATTAGGAGTAGAAGGAAAATTGTAATATATTACGGAAATCAAGTACACCAAATGTGTGATTGCTTTGAACAAATTTGAAGTGGCTAACTCTTTCAATTCATACAATTGAGTTTCACCTGGTTTAAATAGCTATGGTTAAGCGCGTTTGAAGGTCGAAATTTAAAGATAAAAACTAAAATTATCGATTTGTTTTTAGAAAGCTGATTGCTTGGGGTAATACGCACAACGCAATAGTGCCATTTATATTGCGATATGAAATTCTGATTATTGAAAATAAAACAATCAAATGCCTTGTGTTTAAATTAATTATTTATTTATGCACAGCTGAATGGTAAATAAAGCAATTTATCAAAATTGTAATTTAATACTCTCATTCATTAGGAATTGCGATTTATTGCGTGGGTAACTAAGTCATTGCCGTTTTTGTTGACAGATTCACTCTATACTTTCTTTTGTTTTGTTAACGTGGCCAGAGCATCTAACCTATATTTTTTTCTTACTGTATGAGCTTCTAGGTTAATTAGTAAAAAATTTTTTTGTTTAGTTCTTTAGTTTTGTTTTTATCCCAATTTAAAAATGAAAGAACGGGACGTGCACTTCCGACACATTTTATTGTATTACTTCCGAAAAGGCAAGAACGCATCGCAAGCACAAAAGAAGTTATGTGCCGTATATGGAGATGAAGCCTTAAAAGAAAGGCAGTGTCGAAATTGGTTTGAAAGATTTCGTTCCGGTGATTTTTTACTGACAAATTCACAACGATCTGGCCACCCAGTCGAAGTGGATGAAACCCATATCAAGGCCATTATCGATTCAATTCGTCACAGCACAACACGAGATATTGCAGAGAAGCTCAATGTGTCGCATACATGCATTGAAAAAAAATTGACATAACCCTTGGTTATGTCAAGAAACTTGATTTATGGATCCCTCACCAGTTAAAGGAAATTCATTTGACGCAACGGATTAGCATCTGTGATTCGCTACTGAAACGCAATGAGAATGATCCATTTCTGAAGAACCTAGTTACTGGCGACGAAAAGTGGATAGTTTATAACAATGTTACTCGCAAGAGATCATGGGTGAAGCAAGATCAACCAGCCCAAACAGTATCAAAAGCAGAGATTCACCAAAAAAAGATTATGCTGTCAATAGTCTGGTGGGATCACAAAGGAATTTTGTATTTTGAACTCATGCCGCAGAACCAAACGATAAATTCAAATGTGTATGTTGAAGAACTCGAATAAGTGAAGGATGCAATTGAAGATAAGCGGCCGACATTATCAAATCGGAAGGGTGTTGTTTTCCATCATGATAACGCAAGGCCCCACACATCTTTGGTTACTCGGCAAAAATNAGCTGCGAACAGACGTAATAAGTGTACATATCTTGAAAAATTGGAGCCTGTATCAGATTGCTGTACTAGTAAGCCTTGAATATACTCAGTAAACTCTATAGCAGTTTCCCGAATGTTTGGCAAAACTCATAGAATTAGCTAAGCTACCACAAAGCTATGGAGGAAACAGGCGTGCCAAGTGGAGCAGATGTTTTTTATGGTGTGTTTACAGAGATGGAAATTAGTCATAATATGCGCATCCTAGCATGATCGTTGGTTGATCATGAGACCTTTGCTTTTGCCATGATAAAGTTGTGTTCCTCACAAGCTAAATAAGGCTCAATGGATTTAATTCACTTAACGTTTCAAGGAGCAGGGCCAATTCAAATTGAAGCATCTGTAGCTGATTGCTACCTTAGTAAAGCCTGACTGACTCAGAAATCTCGATGGCAAATTCTCCAACATCTAGCTAGACTCCCAGAACAAGCTAAGCTATAGCCCAGCTATAAAGGAAACAGACGTGTAGCAAGGAGCACGTTTATTCAGTATGGGTATTGCGGATAAAGTGTGTACACGCAGGGAGCTACTCATGATCAGGATGGGGGATTAGGTTAAACAGAGGTTAAGGGTTGGTCACTGTTTGTACGATCACTGCACACAGAGTTGTACGGCCGCACCTCCCAATCCTGGCGAGCAGACATGCAGGCATACGATGACGCACAGAGCGATAACGTGTCCCACATATCATATCTAATAAAAATCAAACTAATAATGGCAAATTGAGTGCCGATGTTCCTGCTAAATATTTTATGAACTTGCTTCACTCTTCCCAACTTTGGAATATCCCAAATGGTCGAAATATTCAACTGTTGCCACTTGGAGATAAAATTCTGCACTGAAAAACAGTAAAGATGGCCTTACATTGTTGGCTGATGGAATTGTTCAACGCATCACTCTGAATGTTGTAATACCGGTAACCAATGTATTGACCTGCCAAAAATACAGAATTTATCGGGTATGAAAAGGGAGGAATACACATAAGTACCAAGTAATAAATCAGAGCTTAATTTAATTCTAATATGATCATATAATTTTGATAGTAGAATATACTCGTATGAATCTCAGGACGCAGTGGTATTTGCATACTGTATAAACGTTAGTTTATTTGAACTCAGGGTGGCTATGTAATGGCAAATCTTCTGCTATCTGAATAGGTGTCCATGAATATTGAAAAGAATAGGCGAGAAAAATTATAAATGAAAAAATTGAAACAGGAATAGGAGTGTCTTATTGTTTAAACGAGTTGTGATCTGGTAACCAGCATGCAATATTTCGAAAATCTTTTATGATTTTCTAACTAAACCAGTACTTTCTATTGATTTTATTTTGTTTGTTAACTTACTCGAATAGTTTGCACCCTTCAGACAAACTATTTTGCAGTACATAGTAATTAATATTTGTTCTAGTTTTAACAGACATCGTTAATGGATCCAGCAAAAAATTGGCGAGGAACCTAATAAATAGTACGAACAATACTTAATCTGTAGAAATAGAAACTCCTCATAAAAATTCCTTTAGAAACCACAAACAAATTGCTTTCTGCGACAACTTCGTCCCTAACATCATAAATAAACTGACGCTTTTTCTAGAAATAAACTTCCTCGTTGTCGCAACACTCACAACTGAGTTCTTATAAATGTTGAAAACATATTTATAGATCAGTTAATAGCAATTCAACTTAGAGAAATGAAACGTTTAACAAACTGAAAGTCAAGCTTGAGGAAACGAGACTTGACTTTTTTCCAGTAATTTTTGTGGCAAGAATGCCCCCCCCCCTCAATAATAATATAGAGGAAACATACCCACGGTATGGAAAGTCTGCTTAGATTGTGTTTGTCTAACCGTGGGTTTGTAAGACAATGGAGGAACTAATAATTGGCATCTGGCTGAGAGGTCTTTGCACTCACAACCGCACCTGCTCCCTACCCAACGGGTAGCAGGATGTCATCTTTAAGTCGCTCTGTGTGTGTTCGAGAGATTTCTAGAAAACACGACGACGTAGAGATCCCAGAAGAGAGCTGTTGAGTGCACAGTTTTCTGCTTTGCTCCGATCGAGCAAGAGCATACTATCGTCTCGGCTTTCTTAACGGCGCACAAATTCAAGTGAAGTCCATTTTTAAAAAGTATTGCTGTTTACCTTCACAATTTTATTTGCTAACGCACTGCTCAAAATTCCAACGATTTTCTATTTTGGTATTGGGTAGAATTATATAAACTATTTCCAATATGTCGTGCAATGTACGAAAATAAAGTCTGGAAAATAAACGAGTCTTTCTTAAAAGAATAAATCATGTGCTTTTGGTTTTTCATATCTCAAGTAAAGTACTTAAAATAAATGTGATTTTCAATGGCAATTCGGGATTATCACAAAAAAACGCATTTTCGAAACAATCGGGCAATTTACTTCGTTGTTTTATTTCAAAATGTTATAATTTTCTTTCTCTTTGTTAAGGCTCAATTAAATTATTTGCTTTCAACATGAGTTAATGCGAAAACTGCTTTAATGAGTTCCATGCCTGTTGCTTACGGATTATTTTGTAGCGGTTTGCTACCTAGTAAAGCCTGACTGACTCAGAAATCTCTGTGGCAGCTTCTCCTACATCTAGCTAGACTCCAAGAACAAGCTAAGCTATAGCCCAGCTATGAAGGAAACAGACGTGTAGTACGGGGCACGTTCATCCAGTGGGTGTTTTGCGGATAAAGTATACATGTATGGAGCTACTCATGATCAGGATGGGGGATTAGGTTAAACAGAGGTTAATGATTGGTCACTGTTTGTACGGTCGTTGCACACAGAGTTGTACGGCCGCACCTGGTTGTACGGTCGCTGCACACAGAGTTGTACGGCTGCACCTCCTGGTCGCTGCACACAGAGTTGTACGGCCGCACCTCCCAATCGTACGGTCCCTGCACACAGAGTTGTACGGCCGCACCTCCCAATCCTGGCACGCACACAGCGATAACGTGTCCCACAATTTACTACAAGCTTACTCAAAACATTTTATGTCAAATAGTACTTGTAGGGAGCAGTTAAAGTGCTTGTCTATGGTTATTTCCAAATTTCCCCATGATATAATTATACAAGAATTGGTCTTTCAAACAATTTGAAACCTTGCGATTTTCCATGGATGGATGAAATTTGATAAACATGCCACTTGCTGGAGCTTCAGTAGTGAAGAATAATAATAGGAGTAAGATTGTTGTTAATTTTGTAGCTAAAACATTTTTCTCGCAACTTTCCTTATTCATATGTAAGAATTGAACGATTAATGATCGAAAAATATAGGAATTTGTGAAATTATTGATATAAAAACACAAAAGCTGTAAAAGGAGAATTTTATACGTGCTTAGTATCACGACTCACAGAGCCAGAATGTTTAAAGGTCTAGCTTAATGGCTGATCTTCATCGAAGAAGACTTTGCAGCGGATTGCTACACTAATAAGTATTGACTATGCCCAAAAATCTCTATGACAGATTCTCCTATGTTTTGAAAGACTCATTGAATTAACTAAGCCACCACAAAGCTATAGGGGGATGGGGGTGGGGGAACAGACGTATCACGTGGGACACATTTACTTGGGATTTCCGTGTGTGATGAGGCTGTCGACAAGGCGCTTGGTCAATTCATTAACATGGCGGGTTTGATAAGCCAAGGGAGGACTATTGATTGGCGGTTGGTTGTGTGTTCTCCGTACTCACGACCGCACTTACTCCCTACGTGATGTTGCAAGAGGGCGCACTCAAGCCTGCCTGAATAAGTGTGAGTTTACTTTGTTTATGTGCTCTGCAACTTTCCTCTTGAACTACCTGGAAAACAACCCAAGTTGACATCTTTGGTGGCATTCTTATCTACCATTTCAATAATTATATTTGTCTTAAATTCAACGTTATGCGCTCAAAACCATTTTTTAGTAGCAACACAATTAAGAGCCCATCTTTGGAGTCAACGTTTCAGAGTCAGTATATAGTGTATATACTTGGCAAGTAGAAATTCACTTGCTTTTAAATAGCATAGCATACATAGGGATTCTTGAACAAATTTATTATAAATTCTCTCCATAACTTTAGCAGTTGTCTCAATTCTGAATTTCGTAACATATTCTATAAATGCACTAATTTCGAGATTAATCATCATACACTGGATGACTCAGAACTGCCATCCTCAACCCACGGCTCAAGGGTTCGATTGCCATAGATACTAGATAGAATATCAGTATACAAGTCTTTCCACAGGTAATATACAGAGGAAGGCTGCTGTATAAACTGCAGAGCCTTATCAGCGCTAGTAGTTGCGTATTTCAAATCTTCAAGACTACACGTGGCCTTGAGGAGAATTCTTCTCAAACAAGGAATCACCTCTTCACGAAAATGTCTTAATATCAGCATGGAACCTCTTGATTTACACACTGGGCATCCGTCCATATTTTCAATAAAGACTTTCTGGCAACTCTGGCATATGAGCTTCTCCGGACTATTCACGGTGTTTCTGCTCCAGTCATTACTACAGGCTTCACACTCACAGTCGAAGTAGTATTGTGATTGGAGCAAATCTCGTCGCTCTTGAGTCGAATTAAAATAGAAAGGGGGTTTGTATGAAAGAAAAATTTCACTTCCTGCTTGAATAGGTCGCAATGCATGAATAAACGCGACTCCTTTATCAGTGCACTTGATGGCAACATTTGGATTGCATGAGTGATTTATTAATGATATTGTTGGATAAACAGCGGCAGCCAATTCTTTCGAATACGAGGGATTCAAAAAATTTTCATTTATCCCGAAGTAGTTCACATCCATCGCTTGAATATGATAGAGCAGGCAGGCAGCAATCCAACTTGCTGGAATAATTTCAGGACGGTTGGAGGAAGATGGATCGCTGTAAAAAAGATCTGTCTCATCGAACCACTCCATTGGATATCCTTCGAGCTGGAAAAATGAAATGTATTTTAGGGAGAAATATTGTGGCTTACAAAGGATTTTTATTAAAAAGGCGTAGGGAACCCTCATATCTAAGGATTTCTGACATTTTTAATCAAGCTCATTACTACTAATCCTTGATGGAAAAGATCTCAAGCAAGTCGACTGCACATTCTCTATTGTTACAATTTCATCTGAGTACTCATGAAATGATGATAGGACGGATTATAATGTCAGATCAAGATAATACTTGATTTTAAACCTTCAAACTCTTTGATTTCTGCAAAACCATACTTTTATTCTTTGATTAGGTAAGAAAATCAAATTAGTAAAACCGGTTAAGAGATAGAAATGTCTTACATAGAGACAAAAAGTCATGAACACAGCAGCTTTAGTGAAATACTCAAGTGTTCCATCTCGGCGTTGGTCTGAGCAAGTGGTCAAAAATGAAATTGAAGAGTAGTCAGATGGATCAAAAACCGACGGTGGAGCACGTCGAACCTCTTCTGACCCTTTGAACGCCTGATGGCCCCTTCCACTCTTGTAGTAGTAGTAGTAGGAAAGGTATTAAATAAACTATTCACTATTTGATGGGACATTAAAGTGTACTTAATTTACCGCATAAGATCCGGTGGAACAAATATAGTCAAGAAGCCTGTTTGGGGGGACTTTTGCTAAGCAGTTGTAGGCTGTATGCATTGATTCAATGTCGTCATCAAATATAATAGCAGGACAAAGACCCTTACAGTCGTAGATGTGCTTATTACCGTCTTCAGGTAACTCCAAGGGCTCCTTTGAACTCTTTTCACACTCTTCGCTACAAAATCCCACCTAAATTTGAAATTTGCGGTTGAACTCAATTATCAAAGAGCAGTAAAGTTCGATAGGAATCGACATACATGGGGACAATTGGAACAGGGTACGAGGTTGTGACATCTCTTACAGCAGTAATAGCAATACTTTGTCCGCTCCTTCCATAAGCTCATAGCCCATGGCTTTTCAACAATTAATATATCACCTAAAAAAGGTAAATGGCTCAATTCACAAACTGATATACATTTTGAAAATAGCTATGCTTAGCCTTAGTGGCATAATTATAAACTTATTCTCAGGAATAAGTTGAAGCTTCTCAGATACAAAAAAACAGAGATATGAAGTGTAAATTTAACAGTAGAGCATATTTCTCAACCAATCTTATTACCTATATTCACATTGCGAGTTAATTGCATGGTCCAACCATATCCTTCACTTCCAGCGTATTTCATTCTTAGAGTGTTGCTTGGCGCCGACAGAAATTTGGGTTCTTCAGCATTCAAGGTGTCGGTCATTTTGGCTTCCGTGATACTTGCTGCCGCCTCCCGTTCGATGTCTTTTAAATCTGGCGCTTTCGAACGGAGGCACTTCCATTTAGGCTCGTATTGGTGACTTTCGTTTTTACCTTCTTCGGAAATGCAGCGTTTCAATCCTGCGTCAGCATCCAAATAGTTTTGGCCATTGTCTCTGGTGAGGATTTTTAAGGCTTGAATATAATGTGATTTTGATTCTGGGAACATTTTCTTTTCAAAGTAACAGTGCCCCAAAGTCACATGAATGTTTCCGATTTCAAATTGAGAACAAGGTAGCTAAAATATGAATACTTTTGATGACCCGATGAGTAAAACCACTACTTTACAAGCCCTAACAAGTATCACGAAAATTGGAAAGGAGTAAGACTGTTATTTTCATGAAAGTTACACAATATATATTGAAAAATACGCAAGCAATTTGCATATTGTCTTCATATCCATTCAAGAGAAAATTCAAACATACCACATTATTAAGAATCATCTTACTCATTGGTCTGCTTTCACCTCTTATATTGGCACAAAGCCACGCCAAATTCCTTCTGTACTGTGAGTTCGTTCACTCCATCACCCTTTCACAGGACTCTGATAAGTGACTCCCTACATCTAAGTGCCATTATTTGGCATTGATCATACTTTATTTTTAACGATTGCGTTTCTTCGTCTAATTTATGCTCCAACACGCAGAGTAAGGCAAATTTATACCTGTCTAAATGTACTCACTACCAAAGCGGATTCTAGTTATGATATCTAAAGCATAAACTTGTTCCAGATAGACATACATTCTTGCTGGAACCACGAACTAACTGATTGATCGAAACATCCGGTTGTGCCAATTGTGGTGCTAAAGTCTTCTTTCATTAATTGATAAATGCACAATTTTTCAGGCATATGCTTGCCTTGATATATTTACCGATTGATATTTCCTATTATGAAGCACACAGTGGTAGAATGGTTAAACAATCTCATACCTCTAGAACAATCTGGGATCTGGGGTCATGTTGATGCTCGTGTTAGTGGGGTAGTGAGGTGGCGGGTGCAAAGAGCTCTGAACCAAACTGCAATCGGTGGTCTTTGCAAAGTCAGCGTATCCAAAACCGTATTTAATGGCCAAGTCTGTCGCCAATAACACCATAATCATCAAAACCGAAGTAAGCACATTCCAAGTAGTAAATTCTGCTTCCTCGATTTTGATGATATTTAAAAGTATCGGAATTTTTGTTCCAAAAGAGTTGGAATAAATTAGGATTTCTACGTTTACTATCTGTATTATGAACTTGTAGCGGATTGCTACCTTAGTAAAGCCTGACTGACTCAGAAATCTCTATGGCAAATTCTCCAACATCTAGCTAGACTCCCAGAACCAGCTAAGCTATAGCCCAGCTATAAGGGAACAGACATGTAGCACGGAGCACGTTTATTCAATACGTATATCACGGATAAAGTGTTTACAGGAAGGAAACCAGTCATACAACATGGCGGATTTGATAAAACAAATGAGGGTCATTGAGCTGCTATTGGCTGCGTGCTCTTGTCCTCAAACAGTACGCGAAGTTGTACGGCGCACCTCAAGCCTATGTGTACACGCATGCGCCAATTTGTAGCGGACTGCTACACCAAATAAGCCTAGACTGTACTCATTTATCTCTACTATCGATGAGCCTCCCAAACTAGCTGCTATTGCAAAGCTATGGAGGAAAGAGGCGAGCGAGAAGGGATACGTTTATTTACTACGTAGCACGTCAGTCGTGTGTGTAGGAAGGAACTTAGTCATTATCAACATGGCGAATCCGGTAAAACAAATGGGCGTCCCTGATTGGTTAATGTCAGTGAGGTCGCCGCACCTGATCCGTACGCAAGTTTGAACGTGATGTTGACTAAGCGATGACGTGTCCCACAAACTCCTCTTAATCATTATTAGGGATCTAGTGATTTTTAGTAATGAACAATTGCAAAGTTGGTTGAAATGCTCATAAACATACTCATTTCTAACGCTGACCGATCGAAATTGATAATTTTTAATGGCCCATTTAAGACAATATAGGAAAATGGAAAGAGATTCTTACTTTCAATGCCTTTAATCCCTCCCCAATAGCTTCACCGTGCAGTTCATTCTGGTAGAGTATTCTACTTCTTTGAGCCAATGCTCTCGCTAATTGCTTAGGTGAGGTGGCATAAAAAACAGCCTTGGTTGACGCAGCCAGGCCTGCATTTCTATCGCTTTCCATAATCGCCAAATTTCCGTATGTTAAATAGCGTTTTGATATTTCATCAGACTTGCCATTGCCTCTAAGTATTTCCTCTCTTGTGGTGTTCAATCCAAGCTTATCAACTCCTCTTTTATATTCTAAAACAAGTTTAATGGTTAAATAATGGTGCAGAATTAACAAAAAAAGAACTTACTGCCTGTCGAAGATTCAATAGCTTTAAGGAGATAGGTGACACGCTGGAAGTCGGTTTGGAACTGGTAAAATTTCTGCTTCCAATTGGCTCCTAGGGAAGGCAATGCCTTACTGACGATGCATTTAAATTGAATCACAAGTGGCTGGTGCATTGCCGATTCGAGTGAATCTGTGATTGTTTGCACTAAACTTTCCGCATCTATGCGCTGTGAAATATGAATAATAATAATAATGATTTAGGTTTTCCAATAAAGTTTTATAGTAATTCTTACTTCAAGATCCATAATGCACCTTTACTGTGACATAAATGGAATTCAAATGAACATTTTTGAGTGATATTAATATGAAATTATGCTTACCAATGTGTTAGACCCTTTATACTGTTGAGCAGTGCAGTAATCAAACTCACATAATCGATGTGGAACTATGGCTAATTTTAATTAATTAATGTATAGAGACTAATAATTAAATACGGAAGTCAAATTACGTATAAACTGCCCATATGAACTCTTAAATTGAATTCACGACCTAGAAAAGGCCGGTGCTTCGCTAAGACTATCTTACTTCTAGTCTATTAACGAATTTCCTGCATTAGGAAGGCGAATTCTTGGAGAGATACCCAATTACTTAGTAGAAAGTAGTAAATATACTGCATCAGAATATTTATTTATATCATATGGCAGGCGTTTTGATAGTTACCATTAGCCTTTTAGTTGACTTCAGGCTTCACAGGGGGGGGGGGAAGGAACATCAAAGTGACAAAAAGTCGAGAGGGGGAAAGAAGAGCGATTCACAGATGTAAAAGAGACAAACAGACACAAAGGCATAGAAAATATAAGATGAGTACTGTGTAAGGGATCGAATATGATAAATAGTCTGGCCATGGTAGTTTGAAGTCAGAAGTCAACTGCCGATAAATAGATTTTTGCCGTATAAGTATACGTTTTCCAGGGTGCACCACGTGGAGGTAAGTCTATTGCGCACCTCTGCATCAGAATATAATATTATCCAGAATTATAGTGAGAATTCGAAAATAAAATGATATGAGTAACTCAAATGAGAGACTTCAAGTAAGTGGACAATGCATACACGGAAATGTGTAAATCAATGTACACATCGGTTAAAACGAATTGCAATGGCCAAGTTTGGATAAGGTAGTCATAGCGCCACGCCAATTATGCACTGGGAGTGAACTAAGTGGAAGTTTGCTCCTCAAAGTAGAGAAATGTTACAATGTGCAAATGAGCCAAATATTAAATCAATTGCCTTCAGTGTGTTGTCATAAGTCCAAAAGAGCGGCGTTCTTTTTCTTCTCAGTAAAAAGAAATGAATCGTGATTTTGGAAAATCAATGTTGAATCAATATTGAATTTTTACATTGTCCTGTAGGGAATTCAGAGTATTTTCCCTCATATTTATTTTGATAGCTTTTCGTAGGAACTATGGCCTTAAGACAGTTGGCAAATTGTTATGGATGGGGGTTTTCTGGGAAACATGTTACCTAAAGTAATCCATTTAATTGTGCACAACTGCAGTGATACGGTTTAAAGGACTGACAAGTGGGAAGAAGTGCTTCTATGAGACATCCATGACAGTCAGGCTTCTCAAGGGCTCTGAAAAGCTACTGACCAATGTATCCATAAGCCACCATTTTAAATTATACGATATGCCTTAAATAATCGATTTAGGTGAATTTTAGGGGCATTGAAAAATGAAGCAATATGTCTAGTGCTGACTGGGGCCAGGACACTAGAAAATGTTTTGATAAATGGGGATTCAAATTTCTCAAATTTCTCCATATCACATCCTACTTTCATGAGATTAGACCGGATTTTGTATTAAGCTAGTGGGAAATTCTATTAACTGCTCTATAATCATATAAACAAAGGGTAAACCATTATTTAAAACTGCTTGGTGAAGCATTGTCGTAGAGGTCAATATCACATTGTATATCTGTCCTTTCCCTTTGACAATCCTGAAGAACTCGCGATATGTGCGTATATAAGATTGACAGCATATGTTGTAGCGCAAACGATGTATATCATATTCTCAAGATTGCTCTGGAAACTAACAATCAGTAAACCAAACGAATGACTTAGAGGACGTTCATTGCACTAGTCAACAAATCACCCTCATGATTAGTCCATAGGTATAAGTAATATTATTCTACGTTGCATAAATTCAATTTCTCATTTGCTGAGAGTTTTATGCACGAGCGGTGGCATATTCCAGAGTATTCTATGGCGAATGAGGTTCCTCAGACAGCCCCAGGAGCATTATTAAATCAACACTTGGAATAACGAAAGACTTCTTGAAAATTCTTGAGGTTCAATAAGTTCCCAACGCTATGGATGTAAAATTGTTTACTTATATCTTATTAGTTGTGTTTGTCAGTAATCAGACATCAATCGAATGGCATAAAGCTGGTTTGAAGTCTTCATAAATATCTTGAACTATATTTATTAATACTTTTTCGAAATTCGAACGTTGTGATTCTGATGCAGATATAGACTTATGGCCCAGAATATAATTTATTCTAATAAAAATAATAATGATTGAAACAATGGATACGATTCTTGTCGTAATCTGGCTATAGTTAATCTCCAATTTTTGACTTGAGCTATTATCTCAGTGGTGCTTCTAATGCCACTAAAGTGCTTGATAGTCATTTATCAAACACAATTGAGCACGCATTTCATGATTTTTGGGAGTTGACTATAACATCGTGTAGTGTTTAATTAAATACAGTGGGACAGGGGCTTGACGGTTGGAACAAATGGGAGAGTGCGATCAAACAGCAGGTTTGTTTAGTCTAAAATGGTGTGGTTCGAGAAACTAAAGCAAGTTATAATAGATTTTGTAAATAGAAGTTACAATGGAAGGAAAACAAACTTATTCGCAGTAAGATGAAGAGGCCAGCCACTTTGATATTTTTCACCACTTTAACTAGAAAATGTTCACTTTGGAAGACCAACCATTTATAAAGCCATTCTTAGAATAGAATCTAATTCTTCCACACCTCTCGTGCTGACTAGAATTAAACACCATGTTTGGTTACTCAAATCTGGCTTTTCTAACTTGTGCTTCAACTACTTCAGCTTAGAGTGATTGTTGTTCCTGTTACATTTAATACAGTGAAATTTCAATGTATGTATATTTGCTTTTACTAAATTACGCATATTCTTTATATTAAGGTGCAGTTATTTCTTTTTCATTATTTGAATGTCAAAATCATGTGACATTACATTAATTACTCCATCTCTATTAAAATGCTTTACGTAATTTTGCTCTACTGAAAAATAGTTAGTAGCCTAAATTTTACTGTGCGTAAAATTTCATCACACCACAATAAAAACAAATTAAAAAAAGTGATTGAACTTTCAAAAAATAGATAACAAACATAGATATACCAATTTCTGAAAGATTTTCACAATTGGTCCAAATTAAGGGCAGTTATGGTCTTGATTTTACAGGGAATTTTTTTATTTTAAGTTTATATCTCTTCATAAGAGGCTATTAAAATATGAGATCTGAAAAATATCATTAGAGATATAGGCGAATAAATAAATACTAAATTTAGTATATTTTATTTAGAAAGCTCGCATTTGTAACGACATTGATAAAGGGAGAAATTAGGTGTATGAAACAACCTATTATTATTACTATTAGTAAAACATTGTCAAGTACTACTTAACTTAAAAGGATTAGAACCATCGAAAGGTGTTTTTTCCCTTCACTCATTGTTTATAGTCCGGTTATACAAAAGGTGCTTTCCATTTCCACGTTAGGATTTTCTGAACCTCTCACTGAGTTACAAAATAAGTTTGTTTACTCAATTCTTAACGTTGATTCGCTGGTTTCATTTGATAGGGTGGATGGTCGTACGGATTTACCTCATTTTGCCACACATAGACCAAATGTGCATTAGCTTTAAAAAAACAGTGGGTTATAATGTATTCTAACAATAGTTTTTCACACACCAGACACTAGTAGATTTTGTTAGTTTTTATAAGGCAAATTAAATGTTTTCTATTTTAATAATTATGGCGTGTGCGATAGACTTACCTCCACGTTGTCCACTCTGGGCAACGTATACTCATACGGCCAAAAAAGTCCATTAACTGGCAGTTGGCTTCTCACTTCAAACTACCATGACCCCACGGTATGTCATATTCGACCCCTTTCACAGTAATCATCTAGACTTTTATTTGCCTTTGTGTCTGTCTGTCTTTTACATCTGTGAGTCGCTCTTCTTTTCTCCCGGCCATTTCTTCTCACTTTAATGTTCCTCCCTTCTGTGAAGCCCGAAGTCAACTAAAGGGGTAATGGTAACTATCAAAATGCCTAACATTTGAAATAAATAAATAAATGAATTTTAATAATTATCATTAATTCATATTTATAGATACTTATTTCATTTGGGAATTACGTTCGTTTGTTAATCGATTACATGGCTCATTGTTAATTTACTAGGAAAGAGAATTGCAAAATGTCAGACAAATGGGGTAATATAGGAGGGCGTGATATGCATAGGTGACTAAATACAAAATTGGTAAAATTAATACGCTCGAAGTTTCACATAATGCATAATACTGTTAATTACTACAATCTAATGTACACGTCTAATATTGGCTCCAAAGCTGTTGTAGAAATATTAATTGTAGGCATTTAATGCAACTGCAAATCGATGTGGTTCCTCATCCGATAGCATCAAAAAACGTTTGGCAGCATCTTCATTTTGCTAAGAAATTTTATAAATTACTTGCCTTTTATGCTTAACGCATATCTCCCTTAAAATGAAGAGGATAAAGCAAAACAAGACAAAACTAGAACATTTTAATGAAAATCACTTTATTGTCAATTCTTGAAATTTTCATCTGTATATTTCTAAATGTGGGAATATTAAAAAGCTAGAACTTTACACAACGTCTGAATTTCCTTCCCACATCAGAAAGAAATGCATTCAGAGACCAGTTGAAATATGCAAAAGTAGCTTCAGCGTTCAAGAATTTTCCCATTCTGTCTAACTGACGAAGTATAACTTTGAATTAACTTTTCTGCTCTGCCTAATTCCGATTGGTAAATGTAATCGATTTTAAACAATGACAGTTTTCTATGGAAGCATATTGCAGATTAAGGAAAGGTTGAATAAAACTTAATTCTTGGCAGTTTATGCTGAATGTTTTAAATAAGTGGTGATGTGATATTTATAAAACTAGACACTTGTAATTAGCATCAGTTTTGTAAAATCGTAATTAAAAGATCTATCATATAATGAAGATATG